GCACGCGCGCACACACACACACACACACACACACACACATTGTGTATGTGCACACCCATACACACATACTCTTACACCTCTTCTCTTCCACACACATGTATACGCAACATTCAATATCCGTAAACAGCTCACACGTCTATTATTGCTCTTTTTCTCCAGGTTCTAGGCATTGACAGATCGTACATTGGTGGGCTCGGGTTTGGACTGACAGCTTGCAACCCTGCAACAGTGACAGAAGCCAGTCTGCCCGATGACTCGGACCTGTTGCTAGACAGGCTGGAGTACTGGGTTGTCAACAAAGACGTCTGCCGCAACCCGGAAGAAGGCGATGAATTAAGCTTTTTTATATCAGAGGAAGGTCAGTCCTGCTCACTCTGTCATTTTTGTTATGATGTTTGGATGGGGTGGATCAATAAAGGTTTGAGATGGGAGTTTTATAGAAGTGAAAGGATGTATTTCGGCATTTTTGTTTTAGTATAGAAGAGGTACACAGAGGGGCAGAGTGCAAAAGGAAAAAGCTGGGTTTTTATATTTTGATAATTCAGAAACCAAGTTCGTACGTTAAGTGCTGATTTCATATAAAAGGAAGTATTTATTTGCACTGATGCGATTTCACCACACAAAGGGCTGTGTACTGGCTGGTAAAAATATAACATTGTTTGCTGTCAGAGTGCAGTGCCCACTCTTTTTGTCTGGACCTTGCAGGTTCACCTGAAGGATCTTTACAGAAACCCAAAGCTCACATGGGAAATTTGGTGGTAGAATGGAGAAGAATCGGTTACCTCTGCCTGACACACTACCATATCATTTAACTCTGCTTGAATGGAAAAGGTTGGCCTATCTGGACACCATTATAAGTTACTTAATGCTCGAGATTGTATGAAACACTAAAGATGTGTCAATGTTCAAAGGGAATTCCTTTCTAAGAACAGGCTTTCATGCTGGCGAAAGAAAGAGATTTTTAGGCATACATCGGCCCTTCTGTACATACAGCGTTGCAGTCTGAAGAGTCACTTACACTAATTGTTGACAACTTGCTCCCCAGGTGAAGTTCGCTATGCCAGGAACAACCACAGTCCAGTTACGCTGATGCATGTCGACAGAACCCTGCCCCTGTGGGCATTTTTTGATGTCTATGGCAACATACAGAAGATCAAGGTCGTGGGTACGTACAGCTTGTCTTTACTAGATTTTCATTCAAAATATGTTTTCTCTCTGAAATGTTACATTCCTTTGGCTTTAATGTGCTTTAGAGTATGGAGTGGGGTAAGACATTGAAGGAAGTAATAGTTCATATTTCCTATGTTATTTGCACTATGTTGTCCACATAAAGTGAAATGTTTCGAGACAGAGTTCGCAATGATTTCTGTATAGAGATTCATTATGTTTATGCTGTCTTTTTAGTTTCACTTTTCGCCTTTCCCCAGCCTTTTCCTTAAATTTGAGACTAGTTGGGTTTTTTTTTCACTTACCTTTTCACCTGACCTTTGAAATAGCAACTTCAGAAAATTTTAGTCCATCTTCAGATACACATATTTTATATGAAGTCATATGTTCAAGTTATGGGACTGAACTGTAATATACTTTGAAAGTAATTTCATGATTTGCTAGCAACTTCATTCTTTAATGACTTCATTCTTATGAAATTGTGTTCTTATGTTGTCATGCTCTGACTTTGATCTCATCTTTTCCACCCCGTGCAGGCACAACAAGGGCTGCAGTCCAAGGTCGTCTGGCCAGATCTCAGTCCCTGACGGGGTACAACAACCTGCCTCCAGGCACAAGTGGCTCGGCCCCGACGTGCTCCTCTGCCGGACTGTCTGTGGCGATGCCCCCACACGGCACAGGTGCACCCCCCAGCTCTCTCCCTGCCCACATCCTCAGAAGCAATAGCGTTCCCGTCTCATGTCATCCCTCCCCGCAGGACTCGGGTGATGGCCGTCGATTCCCTTCGCAGCCCACTTCATTACCCAGCACCCCGCTGTCTCCCTCGACTCAGGCTGAGGAGGGGGCGGCCGACTGTAAAGTGTGCTGGGAGCGCTCTATCAACTGTGTGCTCTACACTTGTGGCCACATGTGTTTGTGTTTTGACTGCGCTGTTCACATCCGCAGCGAGAAGGGACTATGCCCTATCTGCCGACAAGAAATTGTGGATGTCATCAAGATCTACCGCTCATAGCACCAGGGCTTGCTTCGTCTTTTGTGGTTAACAGTTGTTTTTTTTTCGGCTTTTCTTTTTTTGGGAATTTTCAACATTGCTTTCGCCAACTGCATTTTTGGAAATTATGGGATTCAAATTTTCTTTGCAAAGTAAAGGACAGCTGCTATGTGACAACTGGTTTTTAAAAATTCAGCTTTGAAATTTTTAGTTTTTGATTAATGATTTATGTTCAGAGGAAATGGTTGCTGTTGCTGATACTGTGCAGATGTGTTACAATGCATGTGAACTGCTTTGTAAATTAATCTGAAGAGTTCTAATTTGAGGGAAGTGCTTTTTTGTCTAATTGCATCTTGGTTTGCATGTAAATGAAAGCAATATTAACTGCATTATGCTTGATTGAAGTCTGTGAGAATTTTTATGAAGACAATTGAAAGCCCTTTATGTACCTTCCTCTTCTTTTGCTCCTTCTTCTACTTCTCCTTCTCTTTCTCCTTCTCCTTCTTCTTCTTTTTCTTCTTTTTCTTCTTCTCCCTCTTTTTCTTCTTCTTCTTCTTCTTTTTTTTTTTAAATTTGCCCAGATGACGGCTGGAAGGACTTAAATCTTTTCTATTTTTAAACTGTCAAGGGATCTTTAACATATGAAACTTTTACACGAGACCTTTGAAGTTGTTTGTACTTATCACAGAGGACTAGCTAGGTGATCTAGGATCAGGGGGTGTAGAAAACTTGAGGAAAAAACCCTATGCTGATGGGGATGGAACTCATGACCTCTGGGATGACACGCAAACACTATACCTGCTGAGCAACTGAACCCCCTCTCTTCTCCTTCAATCTTATTCTGCCTTTTTAGATCTTTTTTTTCCTTCTGTTCTGGATGAAGGGTTAGCGTAGGTGGCCTTGTGGTTAGGCTACCGGACTCGAGGTTATGGGTTCGGGAGGTCGAGCTGCGGGCCGTCGTTGTGTCCTAGGGAAAGTCACTTAACGTGAATTTTTCTCACTTTACCCAGGTGGGAATGGGTACCCGGCCATAGACAGCTAAAGATCTTGTCAGTTTGTTAGTGTTTTAGCGCCTATAAATATGAAATGGCTGCGTGCACTGTATGCTTCCAAGGAAGTTGAGGTTGTTTCAGAATGCTCTCAGGTCTGCTGGGATAATAGTATAGATTGTGAAGTGCATAGAGCTTGTTGTTGAGCAGGGGTTTGCGCTATACAAATGCTATCTATTATCATTATTCTTTGACCTGCAATGCAACAGATTGCTGCATATGTGGCTGTGTCTCCTGTCTGAGCTGATAGTCCCTTGCCTTTCTGTTGATGATGGTCACAAGCTGTTTTCGACAGTACTTTACTTTTTTTTCCCCTCTTTTTTTGTTTCTGACCTGACCACTTTAGATTTTGGTGCCGATTGATTTTGAATTTTGCCCAGGTCTGGCTTTTTCATCTTCAACTGTCTCCTGTGGATATTCTCATTTGACCTTTGAGTTTTTAGGTTTTGTTTTGCCTGTGTTCAGGACGGCTCTGTGTTTGCTCCTGCCTGCCTTAGGGTCAGAATTGTGAAAGGATTTCAAAAATATTAGTTTCATTATGTCCTCACTAACTTGGACTTGATCCTGATACTTTATATGAATGGGAAACACCTTTTCTTCTAGTGAACTGAAAATTGGGTAAATGGTTTAGGGATATTCTGGTCTCCCTTACTTTTACTTTTATATAAAGTTGAAGCCAGTAGCACTGATGTTTGGATTCACTCTTTTGGCCTGCTGTTGTATCTGTGACAAACTTTGGCAGTCACAGCCCCTCAGTCCTCTCAGTCAACTGAAGTTCCAGTGATGTCATTGTTCTTGAGACTGTTGTTTGTTGCCCAGCTGAGTATTTAGATGAATGATATGTGTTGTCTTCCTCAGATTCTGTTACCATTGTTCTTTACTACTAAGAGTCAGTATTTTTGTCATTTTGAATTACAGAAGAAAATAGTTCATTCTCAGACAGTATGCCAGCCTTTTTCTTTTTAAGCATCTCATGAATGTTATGGAATAGATGACTTAATGATAACATGCAGCAGCATCCTAGCTTAAAAGAGACCACTGATCAGCATTTCTCAGTCAACATCAGCGTCTGTTTGTCACATTCATGCATGTATTTTTTTAATGTGTTGTTTTTGACATTCTTTGTTTTCAGACTAAATATTTTCCATGTCATTTTTACTTTTCAGTTGAAAATGTTCAGTGTCTTATGCCAGCTACCTTTAGTTGCTGCATAAAGAAAATGAAAGATGAGGGGAGAGCTTGTCGGGGCCAGGTTCAGAGTCATGACGTGACCATGGCTGTTAAGCAAGACATCTATCCCTGTTTTGTTTTGAACCTGTCGTGTGTTAAGACTTTTCTAGTTCCAGTTTCTATGTGCCAACAGGGGTAGCACAGTTATTTTGTGCACTTGATCAACATTCGAAATTTCGAGGTTCGAGGTTAGCTGAGGTCCAAGTTTTATCTTTCCTCCTGGAATATGTCTCTTCATTTCTTTGATATATCAGAGGAATCAAGCTTTCTGCCAGCAAAACACAGTAATGCTTTGTTTTTTTTAGCAGAGTGTTCTACTTCCTCACGTAAAACAGAGAAAGAACAGGTTCCTCTGTCCCCTATACAGTCAAAAAAGTTGTGCTTTTCTAGAGATTCCTGAAGGTCTGGAAATGGAGAATGTTTCAGACTTTTGTCTCTTGTATGACAGCTTATGTGCATATTTTTAAATGGTATATATCAACATCTCTTTTAACTAACAATTCTATTCAGGCAGTCTGACTACATCAAAATTGAGTCCAAAGTCATTGTTACCATATGTGACCAGTTATTCTTTACTCAAGAGTCCATGTGTTTTCCTGATTTAACAAGCACAAATGCCCAGTGATTTGATAATCTAAGCTCGCAGCACTGTTGTATTGATTCTGACTGATATTTCCTTGTACATAGCGTGTGGTTCGTTATTGATTTCAATAGTGGCAAATGTGCAAAGTAAAGCAATGAGTGTACTGTGAGTGTGAAGTATGGAAGGCCTTTGTCACAAACCACCGGACTCTTATTCTACTGGACAGGATACCTTGTGCTCAAACTCCGTTCAAATCTTGAAGACACAGGCTTTGTGTTGATGACTGAGAGAATTCCCAGGTGGTTTTGTTTTCTTTTGGGCTCAATGCTAGGATACTTCTGAGGAAATGGAGATATGTTGACATTCGTTTTGCCGGTGTTTTGGCTAAGACAGAAATCAGATGAAGGTGGGTTGTGACACAGGGTCTTTTATATGAGATGTATTTGTGTCAAGTCAGGGTTTTGTGGGCACTCCTATAAAATGACCAAAGCATGTAGAATTATGTGATCAACTTAGACTGTTCAGTGCTTGCTAATTTCATGACGCCATCATCCCTATTCCTTGTTTCTGGAAAATTCACAAGTGTATGTATGTATCTACTATTCTTGTGTGTGATGTGAACACTTAGCGTATCGTCACAAGTGAGTTGTTTTGGTTGAGATAATGTGCTGTACAAAGACTGTGTGTTCCCAGCTTTCCTTGTAATTGATTCTCTGCCGTGTAGAAAGAGTCCACAATCCTTGTTCTTGCCTTGCACTGTGGTTCTGAACACTGGGTTTGTTTTTTTTTGGTCAGGGTCAGAGTGCAAGCTTTGAGCATTCAATTGATAATGTGCACCAGTGTATTTATTTTTTGTTTTGTGGAGAAAGACAGTGTTTCTCATGTTGATATTACAAAATAAATGAATGAAGAAGTTTTTCTTTTTGTTTTCCATGTTACTCAAAGTTGCTTTTTTTACTTAATGAACTTTATCTCTGTGATGCACTTCATCAAATGGACATGGATGACTGGTATGTCTGAAGCATATTATGGTGTCACATTTACGTATTGGGAGGGGGAGGGGGGCTTGGAGAGTTCTGATTTGTCACAATGAAGTTGTCTGTAATGCTGTATATTGTACAAGGGGAATATGTATATATAACGCATCATTGCTTTTTCAAAATTAAACCATTAATGAGTTGTTTGCATCATGTCACATTGCAGTGAAACTGGAAATAACAGGGTGTTGCAAAACAAACAGTTCTTCATCCCACGACTCTTTAACATTGAGTGTGGAGTTCAATTACTTGTGAACTTTGCTCCTCCGCTGTTTCTTCTAACTGAAAATAGCATTGATATTCTATGATGGAAGACTCTGTTTTCAGGGGCGATGAAATTATTGTCGGCTAGTTCTGTTTGATTTGAAACACCCTATGACTGAATTGCTATGAAGAGTACATTTGCAATGTACGTAATAGTTTAATTTATAGAGACTTTTACCAAGTGTAACATCCTGTAGTTTGCTGTAGTCAAACTGGTAATGTCATTCCCAGCTGTTGTCTTGTATGGTCTACATTATCATCAGAGGACAGGTGGCCGACTCTGGCATATATGGATGTGGCTAAATCTTGCTCTCTCTGCAACTGCATGTGTACTTGACAGTTCCTTTAGTCATCTCTCACTTTTGTTCTCCTTTCAGCACCTTTTGGTATTAGTGTGCGTGCGTATGTGTGTGTGTTGTGTATGCGTGTGTGTGTGCTTGTATTGTGCGTGTGTATTTGTGTCTTTGTGGTTGTATGTCTGTGTATGTTTGTCGGTGTCCACAAGGCAGAGCTTTTTTCCTCTGTGGACACTATGTGTGCCTGCCTGTGTGTATGTTCATGTATGCTTGTGTGTGTGTGGTTCATGTTAAAAGAAGGTGCATTAGGTCTTAAAGTTAATGTGGATGATAAGGATATTTCCATCACTATATTTTCTGGCACATGTCAGCCTTTGGTAGCTACATATGATGTGTGTACTATGTTTCCTTTTGTTAAAGCTTGCATGTATTTAGTCTGAGAAATGACTTTTTCTGTCTCGTTCTCTGTCTGTCTGTTTGTATGTGTCTCTATCTCTCTCTTTCTCTCTCATTCACTGTCCGTCTCTCTGTGTTATATACATACATATGTGTGGTATCATGGTGAATTTATGCGCTCGTCAAAATGATAAAATCGAAGGAACTGACTTTTGGATAATTTTTATCAATGAAAATTTTTTTTATGGCCCCACACTTTTAGTCCATATTTAAAAAGACTATTCAGTGTGGATTTTGCTGAAAATCATTGGTTAAAGGCACAAAAGATGTGAATGTGCTGTTTCCAAAGACTCTCAAGCTTTTGACATCTCCAAACATTGGCAGCCATCATCTTGCTAATTTTATCTCTGACACCTGGTGACCTCCTTTTCCTTCAATTGCAAATATCTCGACTTCCTTTCGAGATGGATCTATTTTTGTTTTCACCGAAAGCAGGACAAGTAAACAAGCTTGAAGGTTATTTCATTTAAACCTTCTGCTCAAAAATTGACGAGTGCCTGATCACACCTTGTCGTCACACGCGCTCACACACACACACACACACAATACATGTACACACCCACACACACACAATATGCACTCACACAATACACATACACACACACAATACATGTACACAC